GTACAATCAATAACATTATAGTTCTATTGTCTAAAGAACTGAAAAAGTGGGAAGTGGTGCTGAAATCATCGTTAATTTATTGGACTAAAAAATATCTTTAAAATTGAATCAGTAAGATTAATGATCCAGCAGCAGTCTGGTACTGCAGCATTGACATTTGGAAACTTCCTTGACATGTGTCCTGACTCTCATGTGGCTGTGGGCATGAATTAAGCATTGCTTGTTCTGTTCTTCTGGAAATTTGTTAATCTTAAAATTTAGGATGAGAAGTTATATTCTTTTGGCTCCAGAAGAATGCTTAGTCATTCTTGTTCATAATATCCTGTTCTCATTTCTCATCTGCACTTGTTGATGTACATGTAAGCAAGTACATCATACCATTGTATGAATGTTTACTTGAAGTTTCTTGAACGGGGTTAATCTTTTATGTTCCATCTTAACTTTTTAGTAATTTGAAACAAATTCTCAGGTCTTCCTAGAGTTGACTGAAAAGGATATGAAAAAGATCAGTTCTTTGTTTCAGGAGGTAAATTCACTCCGTATTAGTTGTTTTTCAATTTGAATCTCCTCTGAATCAATGGTGGCATTGCAATTGTAGCTAACTGTTGAATTAAATTTTTTGACTTTGTACATTATATGCTATATTTATATTGATATAGAGATTGCTAAACCACATAGTTCATTTTTCTCTCATAAATTCATAGTTCAGTATAGGCACCTACTTTCTTGCTATTGCAGGTTCCCATTTTCTTCAGGTTCCGCTTGTGTGTGGATGTGCCTATAATAGCTAATAGTACACTGTTGGATATCAGTGACTTCTCCATCATATGGACCTAATGTGTTTTAATCTTTAATACAATTCTTCTGTATTCTGAGGTGGAAATGTGCATGTTATATTTTTGCATCAAGTAGGTTCCTTTGGAAAATTTCTAAAGAGGGATAGGGATCTTAAAGTGCCACCTAATACCGCTGTACTATTTTGTAGTTGAATCTGGTAAAGGGAAAAATCAAGGCCTGCCAGTCTGAAGAGGAGGTTCACTCACTCAAACTTATTGAGAAGAATCTCATAAATAAGGTATCTATCAATGTTTTTCTCATTTACTTTAAGTTGAAGTATGTACACATGCACAATTTCTATTTTCATGTTAGCATTGTTTTCCTTTACATTTGAAGCTAGACTAAATCTTTTTGGTCCCATCCTCTTCCTCCAGATTTATACTGATTCTGCTGAAGCCAAGATCCCAGCAGTTCTAGATTATCTAGAAACTGTCATTGAGGTACATTTTATACTTGTCTTAACAGGGAGCATATCAACTACACCTTTTTTTCCTACAATTATTCAATCACAAGGATAAATTATATGGGGGTCCACCTCTTATGGGTGTGGGTTCCATAAAAAATTTTGGTGGATCCAACACAATGGATGATTGTGATTGGACAATTGTAAGGAAAAGTACTAAAAGTCTGCATTGCTCCAATTCTTCATTTTCCTTGAAGTACCGGTGTCCGACACATATCCGCTGGACATGGGTATGGAGGTTTGACCTTCCAAATATATGGAAAAACTTAGAGCAAAATTGAACATAAAAGTGTCAGGTACATACCTGTATCCGTCACTCACCCCCAAGTCTGAGTAACATAGGTAAAAATATTGTAGTTGATGTGCTTTCGTCTTAACAAATCTATGACTGCATGAAAGACACAGAAAGCATTTTGTGTGAATAAGTCTTACCATGATGAAAGATGAGCTCAGATCATAGTTATAACTTATGAGCTCAATGCTTGTACCTTTTCTAATATGCCTGTCATGTCTACTTTAAGTTGCCAAATGTGAAATGTCCTGAAATTTTACATATGGAGTAACAACTAACAAGCCTGTTATTAGTTGTGGAAAATGTGAGATCCAAGTGTATTAGCTCATTTGAATCTCCTTTGGTTGTGATAATATGGACCTTTCATTATTTGCTGGCAAAGTAGCATCTTATGTTTTCAATCTGGTGATTGTGTATAAGATTTGAATGGATATTTTTATCAACTTGAAGATTTCATCTTAAAACTGATTTAAGTGGAGAAATCTAGAATGAGGGTCTGCATTTGTTCTAGCTAGAGAGTTAAACTACCTTAAACTTGAAAGAAGAGGCAATAAGGAGTCTGGACGCCTGACATATCCAACTCTTGATGTCCTTACTATATGTTTGGGTGACATGTGCTTACAATTAGCATTCTCCATTTTTCATAACCCTTCTAAGTTTACTTCTCATCATAAATTTATTCCTTATTGGCCCTTATATGTATTTTTGATATAAATAATTCTTTCAGGCAGGCTGCAAATTTCTAATATTTGCACATCATCAGCCCATGATTGAAGCAATACATCAGTTTCTCCTTGTAAGACCACTTAAATTCATATTGAAATTTTCTCAAGATTGATCTATCCTTATAATATGTGCCAATTTTCCAGAAGAAGAAAGTGGGTTGCATTCGAATTGATGGTACTACCCCTGCATCCTCAAGGCAAGCTTTGGTCAATGATTTTCAGGAGAAGGATGCTATCAGGGCAGCAGTGGTATGGCTGCTTTTGCTTCATATTGTTCTGCTAATCATTTTCATATTCCTCTCGTTTACATTTTGATGTAAACCATAAAATTTTAATTATGGTAAATTTGAATTAATCCCAGTTCTCGTGCATTGCTGATTGCAGCTATCTATCAAAGCTGGAGGTGTCGGATTGACTTTAACAGCTGCAAGTACTGTTATCTTTGCAGAGTTGTCATGGACTCCAGGTGACCTGATTCAAGCTGAAGATCGCGCTCATAGGATTGGCCAGGTAAGCCATAGGCCAGAGCAGTTATATCTGCAAGGAATTCATTGCCATGTTATGCAAATTACGACCTTGATATTTGTTTGATAAGGCTGAAGTCTGATGTGTACCTAAAAATTTGCAGTTACATGAGCCTAACGTGATGTAGAACTGGCACTCAGAAATAATCTGAAATTCTCAATCAAATCTCCATCTCATTGTTAAAAATAAAAAAGAAAGAAAATTCCAAAATCTCAGAATCACTAAAACTCTCAAATATAAAAAATATCAGTATCTCATCAATCAAACGTAATTCTAATAACCTTCTAGAAACTGAAACAATATGGGTAAACCCTTACCTTGCAGAAACATAACATATCAAGTATAACCTTGAAGCTGTAATACTTGGAAAACACTAATTAATATAAAATAACCTTAATAATCTAATGTAACCAATCCTAAATGTATATAAAAATTAGAATTGAACTCTTAAAGTATAAGAAAATAGCTAAATAAAATCGTAAAAATCTGTTAATTCTTCTAATAGCTTCCTTTCCATTCTCCATCCCCGAGCTTTCTTGGGGGGGCTCATTTTTTATTTTCACCCTTTACGTTTTCTACCAGAATGAAGAGCCCTACATCTAGCATTACTGAGTTGTGATCCAGCTTGACCAGATAGGGGTTACATAGGCTGTACTCCAGTTAAGGGCTTTTCATGAAGCCATTGTTTTCATTCAAAATTTTCAAACCTGTGTGAATGGAAGACTATAGGCAGGTTGTAAAGGACCAAAAATTTCTTAAAGTTGTAGTTGAATCACAAGAACTAGATTGGTATCTATTTTCAATATTAAGCTTCTAATCTTAAACGGTAATAGCACTGATCTGCAGAAAAAGTTGTTTGTTTATTATGTTGTAACTATCAAATGATTTGTAGCTTGATGATATCACATTAGTTATGACTTTTCTGGAACATGATGGATTTTTTTAGTTCTGTTAGCATACATTCATTTGCTCTCGCTGCTCAGTATCCTATCTGTTTATTCTGTTCTCTGACACATGGTTCATGTTCTTAGGCCTCTTCAGTTAATATATACTACCTGCTAGCAAATGACACTGTTGATGACATCATATGGTATGTACTTTTGCTACCCCATTTGGTAATCTTGGTCCTCTCTGAATGCCGACAACATGTGTTGATGATGAATGGCTACTAAATTCGATTTGTTGTTTACTTTTCAGGGATGTTGTTCAGAACAAGTTGGAAACTCTGGGTCAGGTAATTTGCTTCTCTCTCTCTCTAAAATAAATCACACATGCACATATAACAAAATACAGTAAGAATTTACGGGTTTCATGAAACTCGCTGATTGTAATTTCATTTAGTTGGTATACTGAAACTCTAGTTATTCACGATTAGATGCTTGATGGCCACGAGAATACCTTGGAAGTTTCAGCCAGCCAACAACAAAGAAGTCCATTGAAGCAGAAAACTCTGGATTCTTTCATGAAGCGCTGTAACAGCATCGATGATGCTGAACATCAATCCAAGCTCAAATACCCCAGGCACTGAGCAACCTACTCAAAGTAAAATACCTATATTTTCACCCCACTTGCATAGCAAGACATTAATCCCTCAGTTAGCACTATCTAATCATAATATCACCACTTAGGGGGTATGCTTGGTACTCGGAATGTAACGTAAGCTTCGTTGGATTGGCTTTACCCTGGCAATAGAATCCATTGGCATATTTAATGTTTTCGTTTGGATTCATAGAAAATATTTCTGATGTCCTAGTGGAAGGATTTCCTTTTCTATTGTTTTAAGCCACCATTTCCCGTCGTTTATGAAGTCATCTATCACATGATACTCATATTGCCCTTCAGTATTAAAAAAAAAATGATAAATTACATAGAATAGAGAAATCACTTCTTCCAGACAAAGAAGTCAGATCTGCTCGTCAAAAAACAGAGGAAAAGTGATTTTAGGAGATTTTACTTACATTTATTTGTGATTAGATAATATAAATCATGTTGGTAACATTTGAGTTTGATATGTTGTTATATATTGGTTTTAAAATATGAATATCTATTGTTCATTTATATCTCTGTAATTAGGATGTCTTCTTGAAACAATAATTATGCAATAGATTATGAGTTCCAATTTCAAGAAAAACTATATTATCCATACGGTCAAAGAGTTGCTATTAGAATACCTGAATATGAAAAAGAAAAACTCTATTTTATTTATCAAGAGAGAATTGCTCTTCAATAATGAGTTAGTCACAAGTAATAAATAAAATGTAATATTGTAAACTTCACCGACCCAAACTTCAACATATATTGTTGGTTTAACCGAGGCTTCACCGAGGAACACTGGGCTCCGACTGAGAAGCGGAAAGTCGAAGAGAAGCTCTCTAGTGGATGATGGGGAGGTGGAAAGGTGCTTTACGATCTACTACTCATCTTCAACAAATGGGTAACGCTAAATCCACCATATCTATCCTTTTCCTTCTATTTACTCGTCGCCCAATCCTTCATCTTAAGAGGGCTGGTTGCTTTTATTTCCAAATGTCTTGTTCTTATGCTACTATTAGTTCCCCGGACACTGAAAATTCTGTGAACGTGAGGGGGAAAGGCAAGCATCAGTTTCAGTTTGATAATATTGGTGAAGCCTTGACGTTGTTTAATCGGATGATTCATAGCCATCCCCGCCCTTCTATTGTTGAATTTACTCGGTTATTAGGTGCCATTGTTAGAATGAAGCACTATGTAACTGCTGTTTCCCTTATTAGACAAATGGAATTGCTGGGTATTCAACACAATGTCTATACTCTCACTATATTAATTAATTGCTTCTGCCACTTGCAATGTGTGGATTTCGGTTTCTCTCTTTTGGGAAAAATGTTTAAATTCGGTCTCCAGCCTAATGTCATAACATTCTCCACTTTGATTAATGGACTCTGCATTGTAAGTAAAGTAGCCCGAGCAGTGATGTTGTTCAATGACATGGTCAGGGAAGGGTATCAGCCTAATTTAATTAGTTATAATACAATAGTAAATGGTCTTTGTAAAATAGGTGATACTAGTGGGGCTATTAGATTGCTAAGGATGATGGAACAAAGAGGTTGTGCACCTGACATTGTAACATACACCACCATCATTGATAGCCTTTGTAAGGATGAAAATGTGACAGAGGCTTTGAAACTCTTATCAGAAATGAGAGGTAAAGGCATCCCATCAAATATTGTCACTTATAGTTCCCTAATTTATGCTATGTGTAATTTGGGGCAGTGGAAAGAGGTTACTAGTTTATTGAAAGAAATGGTGGCTAACAATGTCATGCCGAATGTTGTCACCTGTAATATATTGCTTGATGCACTTTGTAAAGAAGGGTTGGTTTCAGAGGCTCATGATGTGGTTAAGAAAATGTCTCAAGATGGTGTTGGCTCTGATATTGTCACATACAATACGTTGATGGATTGCTGTTGTTTGCATAGTGAAATATATGAGGCAAGAAAGATATTTGATTTGCTGGTTGGCAGGGATTGTGCCCCTAATATTGTTAGTTACAATGCTTTGATCAGTGGATATTGCAAAGCTAAGAGGATGGACGAGGCAATGAATCTTTTTCATGAGATCTCTGATAAGGGATTTATTCCTGATGTTGTTACTTATACGATTCTTATGAATGGAATGTGTGAAATTGGAAGACTTTCTGCTGCGCAAGAACTTTTCAAGGAGATGTCTGCCAATGGGCAAATTCCAGATCAAATGACTTACTCAGCTTTGCTAGATGGCTTATGCAAACATGGTCACGTTTATGAGGCATTGGAATTCTTTCAAGCAATGCATAATAGTGGGTTGGAACCTAGCATTTTCCATTATAGTATTCTACTTGATGGCCTGTGTCAAGTTAAGGAGTTTAAACTAGCAAGGCAGCTGTTTCGTCAAATCTTTGCCAAAGCATTACACCTAAACATTTATGTGTATACTATTATGATCAAAGCACTTTTTGAAGAAGGGCTACCAAATGAAGCACGGGAGTTGTTTAGGAAAATGGAAGAAGGTGGCTGCCTGCCAAATAGCTGCTCTTATAACACAATGGTCCAGGGATTTCTTCGAAACAATGACATGTTGAGTGCAATGCAAATTCTTCATGAAATGGTTGACAAGGGATTTTCTCTGGATGCCCCCATGGCAGTCATGCTAGTTGATTTCTTATCTACTGATGAAACAAGTCAAACGTTTCCTGAAGTAGTCTATAAAAACATTGAAGACTATCAAATTGTAAATGTCAAGTGATTTCTTCCCAGTCAATATCAGGATGGTTAATTCTAACTAAATTCCCATGTTATGTAAGTTTCTATCAACATACATCTTTTCCAACATTGAGGAAGAAAGCAATGTTTTACACCTTGTGTTCTCATCCTATTGGGCTAATTTTGTGTGTGTTTTTTGCAGGATACCTAGGTGGAAATGCACCAAAGCTGGAAGCTCAGCTGTAGTTTGCCATTTCTTCTGGTTTTGGGCAAGGTTTTGATGGTAAGTATTTTCATTAGAAGAGCGGTTAAAGAGTGTCTATTAATTGTCACAGCTAATTTACCATGGCCTCTAGAGTAGTTCGTAAACCAGAAGCAAAAGCTGATTCTTTGTATATTTACCTCGGTTACACAGATATGACTATTTCCAGTATCAGTTGGCTTCAAATTTAATGTTGTATGTAGTGTCAAATCTAATCTTTCTTGGGTTTTCTTTTAGGAGCACCTTTGGAGTTGAAGGCAGAATTGCATCTCTAGCTTTGCAATTTCTTTCTTTGAACTAATTATCTGCTTGATTTAATGATTCTGTAGGCTAGTGCCAGTCATAAAGCTGCTTCATGGTGATTTACAATCATTCTGAGCTAGAGTTTCTAATTTGGGAGGATCAAGTAATTGGAAGCTGTTGGAAGAGATCAGCATAAATTTGAGATAGTCCAGAGCAGCCAATGTTGATGTGTGGTTTGAGTCACTTGCATTCTATGAAAAACTTGTTTTTACTATCTACTTTCAAAAGCTGGAACCAAGGCCAAAAAACTCCATTTGCAAGGGGTGCTTGTCTTGTGTTTTTAAGTATGCATTTACACTTCCCATAATGGATAGGTTGCAGTTAATTTGGACTGACTGTATATATGGGAGGTGTTGCTGATTCGTTGTCTCAAAACAGTTCTTAAAAATTCACTTATCCTTGCAAAACTTATGGTCCCAATTCGTTCGACCCCTTTTGTGATTAATTTGCTATTTTTGAAGGCTGTGGCAAACAACCGGAAGGAAAACTGAGATTGATTTACTTTTCTGTTGGCATGAAATATAGGTTTGACTAGGACAGAAAGGGTTGATAATCCAGAAAACCTAGAATTGAGCCACTAAGAAGCGACTGCAAAAGTATTGGGAGATAGAACAATTTTCTGTGGCAACCAGTGCATAATGAAAGAAGGTTTTGGCAGACATGTATTGAAGTATTTGAGGTTTGGAATCATGCTCAAGGTGCAGAAAGTTGACTCGCTGGACAAATCAACAAGATGGAAGGAATAAGCAAGCAAGATGTTTTGCTGTGGCAGCAAATTGGGAAGAATACATGGAATCTTAAAAGAGCAAAGCTAGGGTAGCATGGGTGAGGAAG